CAATTTGGCAACAGCTATGTAAATTAGAAATGCACCTGCCCTTTAACCTGGCAATTCACTTCCAGACATTTATCCCACAGAGATCCAAGTGCCCAAAGATAGAATCCAAGGGTGTTCGCTGCCTAGACACCTCCTGCATGTGCAAGACGATGGGCTGAGTGCGTCAGGCAGTGTCCACCCAGTGGGGCACTCCTGGCTTCCTCGCCTGTGCAGCAAGACCAGCAGGTGCCTATCCCTTGAGTTCCTAGGAGTAGATCAGTTAATATAAGCAAAGTGCTCTGAGAAGCGTCCAGCACATAGCAAGTATAAATTCTTGTTATTATTATCACTTTGCTGTTGTTGAAAATAACTGAGTAGATCTATACATACTGATATGTCATTATCTCCCAGAAATGCTGGTCAGTGAGAAATGCAGACAGAGTGTACAGAAGCCTCCGGCGGGCCGTGCGGGTCTGTGGATGTGGCTCTGGCCTGCTTTGTTTCTTGAGGAACTCGGCTTTCTAAGGCATAGCCCGCGTCCAGGGTGGCACAGATAGCACTGGCCACAGTCGCTGTCCTTGGGAGGGGAAGGGGACCAGGGAACAGGGGAGAGAGGGGATTTGCACTTATCTTTCCATGCAGTGTGTGGTTTTTAGCCACCTGCCTATACTACCTATTTGAACAAATCAATCACTTTTAAAGCCTGGTGATGTACGTGTCTGTGTCTCCCCCGGACAGTGAGCCCCTGGAGCGCAGGGACTGTGTTGGAGTCACTAATGAATTCCAGGTGCCCAGCACTACCTGGCGCACAACGTTATTTGGTGAACATTGGCTGATGGCAAGCTGGCTGAATTCCACGTGGTCCTGCTGGAGTGGACTGCACCCACCCCAAGAATGATTCCAGGGAGGTTCCCACAGATTGGGAGTGGGACAGACTGGAGCATCCTGGGAAGGGGCTGGTGGAGGAAAGCAGATCTCTGGCAGGGAGGACCTAGAGAGCTAATTCCCAGAGAGGATGATCCCGGGAAGCAGGACCCAGGTGTGCAGGTGCAGCCAGGCCTCCGGCACCCAAGGCAGCCTCTAGTCAAGGGCTGGATGCTTGGGCCACAGCAGAGGCCCCTCTCTTTGCAGGGTGCTGACATCCCTATCTCTCCACATGGCTGCCAAGGGGGCCAGGGAAGCATTACTGTGGCAACAGCCTTGGCAGGCAAGGGGTTCCTCTGTGACTTTCCCATCTCTGATGGGCTGACGCCCAGACCCTCCAGACCTGTGGTCTGCCCATCAAACCAACGCCTGGGCTGAGGAGCAGAAATGAGGCCCCTAGGCCTGAGCTGGGACCTGCTGGGGCCACCTCCATCATCAACCCTGATTTGGGGCCACCTCCCATGTCCTTCGTCTTCCTGCCCAATGAAGCAGAAGGTCTTGGCCATGCCTTGTACCAATATGCCTTGGCGTGGGAAGGGCCCCAAAGTGGGCACAGCCTGACAATCCTCATGCATCGGGTAGAGAGGAAAAGCATGGCTCACCCCTGCTGGGAGGCACCCCTGCAGTCATGACACGAACCGGCTGAATGCATGAACTTTATTTATTTTTTTTTTTGAGACGGAGTCTTGCTCTGTTGCCCAGGCTGGAGTGCAGTGGCATGATCTCAGCTCACTGCAACCACCACCTCCCAGGTTCAAGTGATTCTCCTGCCTCAGCCTCCCAAATAGCTGGGATTACAGCCGCCCATCAACACGCCTGGCTAATTTTTTTTTTTTTTTTTTTTGTATTTTTAGTAGAGACAGGGTTTCACCATGTTGGCCAGGCTGGTCTCACACTCCTGACCTCAGGTGATCCACCTGCCTCTGCCTCCCAAAGTGCTGGGATTATAGGCATGAGCCACCACACCCGGCCAATTTTCTGAGTAGAATGGGTTCCTATTTCACTCGTGCTGTCAAAAATGTGTTACAGTTAAAATGAAAGGTCTTTGCTCCATCTGGCATTGACAGCAAGGCCCGCTCCAACTGACCCATTTAGTGCCAGGCCTGCCCCTGCCTCACCCTTGCTTGGTCCGCTGTGTCCCCACTCGCAGCAGGGCAGGCTCACGTGATGATGTTCACCGTGCACCGTGCCCTCCCTTCCTGGACCTGAGTCTGCAAACTCCAGCCATGAGGTGGATCCCACCCTCTAGCTGTGTTTATAGAGCTCGAGAGCCAAAAACGGTTTTCTGTTGTTTAATAGTTGAAATTCAAAAGGAGGATGATATTCATGACCCATGAAAATCACATGAGGTTGGCCGTCAGCGTCCACGAGTACGATGTGATGGGGACACTCCACCCGGAGCTGCTTTCCACCATGAAGGCAGAGTCAAGGGGAGCACGGCCCCACAGCCTAGTGGATTTAATTAGGTTGGTGCAAAAGTAGTTGCGTTTTGGCCATTATATGTGACCTTTGGCAGACAAAGCCAGCTGCTCCCTGGCCTGGGCTGTGAGTTCCACGAGGCGGGGCCTTTGTTTTGTCCCTCACGTGAGTGCCCGCGGCAGTGCCTGGCAGCGACAGGGTGCTCCGTTGCCCTGGCTGAATGAGTGAATGGAGGTGTAGGTTGTGGAGCGCATTGCGTCATCCTCCTAGAGAGAGGAAGGCTCGCCTCCTTCTCCAGCTCTGTCTGGCAGACACCACCAACCGCCCAGCCCAGCAAGTGGGCTCGGGGCCTGTGAGCACTGAGAGAGGCACCCGTGGGCAGGCAGCATCATTTGCTCTACCCCCTGGAGAAGACAAGGCAGAGGGTGGTAAGGCCTGGATTTGACACCAGCAGGGTGGGCCCCCGGGTCTCTGAAACGATGGCATGGGCTTGTTTGGCCCTAGGAGTCGCCCCAATGACCCTACACAGAGCCCCTTCCACGAGCTGAGCCTGCTGTGCTGCGTAGGCGGCACTTTGGTGCCCTCTGGTGGTAACTGGGAGAGGGAGCTCTCCAGCCCATCTGACCACCTCACCCAGAGATAAAGGAGCTCGCCAGCCTGGGTGCTCTCTGTCCCTTCAGCCCTCTCTATAGGGCATATTGGTGTCACAGGATGTCCTCCCACCAAGCTGCCCAGGGAGCTGCTGGCAGCCTCTCCTGTGGTTAGACAGGGGACTCCCAGGCTGCCAGTATGCACCTGTCTCTACCAGTGTGCATCTCATCCTGACGAAGGGTGGGAGGTGACCTTGGTCCCAAGGCCCAGGGACCCTTCTAGAGGGATGGCCAGCCTTACAAGCTCCCTTGTGTTTTTTGCGTATCTGGAGAAGCTGCATCATCTGTGGGTCAGAGCCCCTTGGTGCACAGAACTGCTCTAAGTTCTACTATGGGGACAGGAAATTTGTCTGTAGCCAGCCCAAGACCCCACTTAGCAATGATCATCATGTCCTTGTCACCACGTATACATTGTACATTAGCAAGCGTTCCTTGTCTGCCTCCAACAAGATACTGGGCTCCGGGAAGGTAGGGGCAGGTCTGAGCTGCCTCAGTAACCCCAGCCTCTAGCTAGGGCCTACCTGAGTGAATGGCAGTGGATAGCTGAGTGAGTCAATGGAGGATGAACATGGATGGATGGAGGGATGGGTGGGTGGATGGGTGAATGGATGGAGGAAGGGTGGGTGGGTGACTGGATGAATGGATGGGTGAGTGGATGAATGAATGAACGAGTAAGTGGATGGCTGAATGGATGAAGGGTGGGTGAATGGATAGATAAGTGAATGTGTGGATGAATGGGTAGGTGGGAGGGTAGGTGAGTGGATGGATGAGTGAACAGATGGATGGATGAGTGAACATGTGAATGAATGGGTGAATAGGTGGGTAAGTGGGTGGGTGGGTGGGTGGATGGATGGATGGATGAGTGAATGTGTGGATGAATGGGTAGGTGGGTGGGTAGGTGAGTGGATGATGGATGGATAGATGAGTGAATGTGTAGATGAATGGGTAGGTGGGTGGATGGGTGAGTGAATGTGTGGATGAATGGGTAGGTGGGTGGGTGGGTGAGTGGATGGATGGATGGATGAATGGATGGATGGATGGATGGACATGTGGATGAATGGGTAGGTGGGTGGTGGGTGGGTGAGTGGATGATGGATGGATGGATGAGTGAATGTGTGGATGAATGGGTAGGTGGGTGGGTGGGTAAGTGGATGGATGGACATGTGGATGAATGGGTAGGTGGGTGGTGGGTGGATGAGTGGATGATGGATGGATGGATGAGTGAACATGTGGACAGATGGATGAGTGAATGTGTGGATGGATGGGTGGGTGGGTGAGTGGATGGATGGATGGATGGTGAATGTGGGTGGATGGATGGAAGAATGGATATCCAGTAGCAGAACTGAGCTTTGGATTACTCTGGGTCCCTAGCCAGGGCCTCAACCGCTCCTACTCATCACTCCCATCCCATCTCTTCAATTCTGTTTCCAAACAGATCTTGGTTACACCACTTCCCTGTGCTCATGCCCTTTGCCCCTCCCCACTCCCACATCTCCAGCCACCCCAGGCTCCCTCACATGGAGCCCACCGTGGTTTCAGGGCCTCTACAGAAGCTGGTACTAAAACCTAGAACATCATTCCCCCAGAGAAGCCCAGAGATGGTGCCCCTCCGCTCCCCTTCTCCCAGGCCCCTCTGCAGTCACTCCTGCTTTCTTCATAGCATGTATTACTAACAAAAATGCTGGCCAGCTTGCTTTCTGTGTCTCCCCCACAAGAACGCAGCACACAGGCAGGACCTCGCCCTGCTCTGTATCTCCACCCCACAGTTGATGTTCAACTCACACTTGGGGGATGAATGAACCACCCTTATTATTTTGAGTACAGAGGTTTTACCCAAATGCATCAGATACACAGGACAGGTGTGGTGCAAAACTCCAGCAAGAGGGGTCAGACTGGTGTCCCTCCTCCCAGCTGTGCGCTCCAGGCAACCTCCCTCCTGAGTCCATCTCCTCAACAGGAAAAGAAATTCCACCACACAGGGTGTTATGTGACTTGAGGGATAAAATGAAAGTGAAAATGCAAGACACATGCACAATGCTGCGAGCTGCATTTATTGTATATGTATAAACCACTCCCAGCCAGCGCCTGTCAGGGGCCCAGGACACTGTCCAGCGGGGCCAAGGAGCCACATTGCTGGGCGCATGCCCCACACCCTGGCCACCCAGCAGCAGTGCCCAGCATCCCTGAATAGCAGAGCAGCCAGGGCCCCAGGGGTGACTGTCCTGGAGGGACCTACAGGGGCATGGGGCCAAAACTGGGCCCTGCACCTTGTTTGGCCTGCAGATTTGATTTCTGAATTCGTTTCTGCCAACAACTTAAAAAATCAGGACATCTTGCATACAAATCTGTATCTCTGGCTTCTCCAGATTTCTGGCATTAGGCCTGTATTCCCACACCACAGCAATTAGCTACATCTGAATATGGCAGCGGCCACTGTCAGATGGGGACCCGTGCTCTGCCCCCATCCCCACCACACTCTGTTGGTCTCAAGGTAAGTGGCTGTTACCGACTAGCTTGTGAGAACTTTCTCTCATCACGATGTCTTTGTCTCCAGCAACAGACGTAAAGTCACAGTGAAGCAGGCTCCCAACTCAAGGGCCTGTTTCATCCGTTTATACCACCTACGTGGACCCAGGGGCATCTGACTTTGAGATATCTGGATGAGCCCAGGCAGGGGGCGGCAGGATCACTCCACACATACCCCTTCACATAGCTGATGAGGCGGAGCTGAGGGCAGCAGTCAGCCTTCCCAAGCCTGAGCCAGTTGGCTCTTGAGAAATTCCCAAACTCTCGGAAGCCCGGGGCGCTAGTAGGCAGGCACAGGCTCTACCACAGTGAGGTTGCAGGAGGAAGCCAGACCCAGGGAGTGTGGGGCTGGCGCGCCCTCTAGTGCCCATCAGGCAGCTCTGCAGCCACGGCGAAGATGCTGAACTTGATTCCTAGGAATCAACCATCCAGAGCCCCCAAACAGGCTCCCCCCAGTCCCATGGCTTCCAGCTGCTTCTTTTGCAAAATTGTCCTGACCCCAACCCACCCCTCAGACCCTCTCCTGGGCACTCTACTCGCACCGCAGTCCCCAGCAAAGCCGCCCTTCCCAGGCTGCACCCTCTTCAGAGTGGGGTCCAGCCTCCCCACCCTTCAGGTCCCTGTGCTGCACTCCAGGTTGGCCCGCAGCGGCCTCGAGGTGCAGGGAATAACCTGCAGCGGCAGGAGAGGCCAGCTCCTAGTGTACAAGCGTCAGGCGGCACTTAGGTGAGTAGCACGGGCCAGCTGGGCCCTCGGTGACTGGGGAGGCAGTGTCCCAGGTAGTGCTGCCACTGAAGAGCCGGCGTAGTCAGGTGGTCATTCTTCAAGAGAAGCTGTGGGTCTGGACGCTTATGTGAAATCTACCAATTTTTAAAGGTTGGCTCAGGGTATAAACCACCCAGGCCAAAGAAAGCATGTCGGCTGGGTGGGGCCAGGCCAGGGGCCCCAATCACAGAGTTCTGCTGAGGCCCCGCCGTGGACAGGACCTCGGAAACGGTGGGTGTAAGCCAGTGGTTTTCAAAGTCATCATTCCATTTGCTCCTGAGAGGCAAGCAAGAGAAAGAAAATTCTGGGACCCATTTCAGAGTCTGGGACACTGAGGCTGAGGTGGGTTCCTGGCAGGCTCAAAGTTACAGCTCATAGAAAAGAGTGCTCTGAAGCTGCGTGAGGCGGTGGCTGGGGCAACGCGCCCCATACAGCTGTGCACAGAAAAGTGCATCCCAGCATCGGGGGGTGGGGAACGGGGGGCCCTCCACACAGCGCCTCCCACCCCGCTTGGCCTGCACCCTCTGAGCTGCACCCTTCCTAGTCCCCTGGAGAGCCCACCACCCCAAATGTAGCCGAGACAGTGGCTCCCTGTGCACATGTGTGCCTGCATGTGTGTATACACACGCACACAGGACAAGCGGCCCAGGCAGAGGCACGGCAGCTTTCTCCGTGGGTGGACAGCACAGCAGCTCAGGCAAACCCCTCAGGGCTCAGTCCCAGCAGGAACGCCTCCTGCAGCCTTGCCCATCACGAGTATAGGAGGAGGGTCCTGGGGGGCCCCCCAGAGGCCTGGGTAGGCCGGGCATGTGGCCATGGCCTGTGGCGGCCTCACCAGTTGGCTTTCACTGCCTTGATGTCACTCACGAGGTTCTGGGCCAGGCAGATGCCAAAGATCTGTAAGACAGAGGACAGGTGAGGGGAGAGCAAGGGCAGCCCCGGCAAGGGGAGGGGCACGTGTGGCCACAAGCGTACCTGGAGGAGGGCGATGCCCACGAAGACTCCCGCCACCACAATCAGGTTGTCCTGCAGCCACTTCTCAAACTGGCCCACGCAGCCTTTGGTGTGGATGAAGCCCTGCTGCTCCAGTTCCTGGGGACACGCAGGCACCAGGCTCAGCCTGCCTGCCCTTCAGGCCGGCTCCCTCCCTCCCCAGGCTGCCAAGCTCACACCCACCCCAGGGCCTAAACCTGCAGCACCTCTCCCCACAGGGCCTCCACAAAGCCGGCTCTTCTCATGGGGTCTCAGCACGGACGCACGCCCCCTCCTGCCTGCCCAGCTCCTCTCCTATTACCTCCCTTATTTTCTTCCAGGCTTTCAACTGAAACCGTCACATGGCTGTTCATACTGCTTTCTCTAAGGGCTTACCGTCGTTCTCCCTCCACTCCTCCAGAGCCGACTGTCTCATGAGCACCAAATCTCTGGTCTCTAGGGCAAAGCCGGGCACCCCAAGGGTGCTCCACAGAGCAGGACTGAGTAAACCCACATCTTCCCAGGCCCAGGAATCTGCTCGCGCTCTGCTGCCTGGGTGTCTGGCTGGTTCCTGGGACCCAGCACCCTCTCCCCAAAGAACACCTCACCCGTTCCAGAAGAGGTTATAGACAGTCGCATTCCCATCCCAGTACCCCCGCCTGCCCCAGCGCAGTTCCTACCCCTCTCACCAGTTTGAGCCGGACGTCATAGCCACACTGGGTATTGAGGACATCCTCCTGAGGGGAGACAGGCCAGTTAGTGACTTGGTGAGGAACACATCCCATGGGGTCCATGGTACCTGGTCATTGCAGTGGCTTTTCCTTCTCAGAGGAAGCAGATAGGCCCGTGGAGTCTGCTGTGTCTGCCAGTCTTAAGTGAGGCTCTCTGAGGCCCATGTGCCTCTTTTATTTTTTTTTGAGACAGGGTCTCACTCCATTGCCCACGCTGGAGTGCAGTGGCATGACCATAGCTCATTGCAGCTTCAACCTCCTGGGCTCAAGTGATCCTCCCACCTCAGCCTCCCAAGTAGCTGGGACCACAGGATTGTGCCACCATGCCTGTCTAATTTTTTTTTTTTTTTTGTAGACCTGAGGTCTCACTGTGTCGCCCCAGCTGGTCTCGAACTCTTGGACTCAAATGATCCTCCCATGAGCCACTGCACCCGGCCCCACGTGCCTCTTTCCCAGACGCTGGAATGCATGGCTGCAATCACCAAGCTAGACCTGCCTCCGTTCAGGAATCCTGCCTTATCTTATAGGGAGATAAGAATGGGGAGAAACCTGGCCCTTGGCATCCCAGATGAATTGTGACTGAAGAAACATCACCAGGAGAGGTTTCTGCCCTGAAGAAAGTCATAAGGGACAGAGGTCCCCACTCCCTCCTACCCTGCAATGGTGGCCCAGTGGGGTGGTGGCTGGCAATGGCCCAGGCGACCCCTGCCACATACAACTGTAACTGAGAGTGACAGCCTGGCCAACCTTCAAGCTGGCCAGGGGCAGACAATGGCTGTGGCTGTGTTTCTGTGGATGTACAGGGTGCAGGGAGGCCCTCCAGGCCAGTCCCCATCCCTGTGCCCCAGCGTCCTGCGGTTTCCATCTCATTACAATAGAAAAGACAGGTCTTGCTGAACAGGGAAAGCGGCCGCGCCCCAACAGGCTTCAGTGCCACCCATGTAAAATGGCCTCCCCCAGCATCCGTGCCTCCAGAGCAGGGCAGAGCAGAGCGGGCCCTGTGGGGGGCTTCCCCCGAGTCTGTGCACTGGAAAGCCCCGCACCGCTCCTCCCCCAGCCCCACTCACCGCAGGGTCCCTGACGCAGCAGGAGAAGGGCACCCCGCAGCGCTCCCGGCTGGGGTTCAAGTCAGTGCAGTTGAAGTAGATATTGAGGTTCCAGTCGTTGGGGCCTCGGGCTCCGCAGCAAGACCACTGTGGGGGAAGGGGAGAGCCCCAGGTGAGCCAGGCCCACCCCGGGAGCCTCAGCCTGTTTGGGGACAAGCCTAGGCTGCAGGAAAACAGGGCTGTCAGGGACGGGGCTGGGACAGCCAGGTGGGTGGCCACCTCCCCATCCCCACAGGCCTGGGCCCAACCTCCAGGTTCCAGGTTGGGGAAGCAGAGGGGTGCAAGGGAGGGGATCCTGAGCTTTCCCCCTGGCCCAAGAGAGGCTAGGAAAAGGGAGGGAGTGGGACAAGGATACTGGTTCAACGACCATGGCTTCCTCCAGACTACCTGAGAGGCAGGCGCTGGGCCAAGCCCTGTGGCGGCAAAGACCGCTGGGCCCCATGTCTGCAGCAGGCCTCCCACACTTGCCCCAGAGGTTCTACAAAGCCCTCTTCTCCGCAGTGCAGGGCCAGGAGGGGAGTCCTGCCCACCCCAGCCTGCCACTCCCATAGCCATCCCACCCCATTTCCTCCATACCAGCTGGCATCATCCGCACCCTATCACCCCCACCCAGAACACCCTAAGCTGTCCCCTAGTCAGGGGCAATGGCGAGGTTGGGATCTGCCATGAACCACGGTCTTGTGGGGCACACGGGTGCGCACAGCCTTCACTGAGCAGCAGCACCGCGGCTGAAGAGCAGCACACGGGGCTGGGGGAGCTCGAGCTCGGCAGCAGACAGACAGGCTCCGGGGCCAAGCCAGAGAGCTGGAGGAGCCAGGCCTGCCACATGCCCTGCATGTGCTGGTCCCAGGGCAGGGCTCAGCCTCCACCTGCCTCCTGGCACCTGCTCAGTGCCAGCTGCTCCTGCTAGAGAACACTCTCCCTTCTCTTCCTTCTCCTCCTTTGGGAGGCTTCAAGCTCTCCACGCAGAGGCCTTCCCATTCTCCACCCTTCATTTTGACTCTTACCACAATGTACAATTTTGCACACGTGTGTGTACATGCACACATTCGTTTGTTCTGCTTGTTCACCATCTGTCTCTTCCCAACTGCTATCCCTGAGAGGACAGGTCCCAGCTTTTTTCCCCGCCAAATCCCCAGGGCCTGGCTTGGGGTCTGGCATATGGTAAGCCCTTAACAATCATGTGCTGAATGAATGAATTGCATCATAACTACTTGGCTATGTCTGCCTCTGCCCTGGGTTGAGAGCTGCTTGAAGCAGGCACCAGCTCTGCCTCATCTCTGGATCCAGAGCTGACTCTTGGTGGTGACTGGTGCCAAGGGCCTGTGGCCATGCGTGGGTGTGATCAGGTGTGACTCATGTGTGACTGTGGGACCATGTGTAGGTGCAGGTGTGATCAAGTGTGCCTGTGAGTATGTGACTGGGTGTGGGTGTGACTGTGGGTGACAGTGTGTGACTGTGTGTTTGTGGTAAGGGGTGAGTGGGCGAGATGGTGCAGGTGGGAGGCAGACAGGGTTTCGGGAACTCTTCTCTGGCTGTTCTTCACTAGGGTTAAGTTTGCAAGCTTGAGGGCAGACCTTCCATCAGGGGTCTAAACTCTAACATGCACAGAGGCCAAATACAGTATAAATGAGAGATAAGGGCTGACAGATATAATAAAATACAGAGTGTTGGGAACAGTGGCAAACAGAGCCTCTGCACCAGTAAAAGGGCGGCAGCAACAGCTCCAGCTGATACTGTGGGCCCAGGGTTGAGCAGAAGTAGAAATCTATATTTTTACGTCTCATTTTCTCCATTCTCCTGTGTGTCGCGGGCCCTGGCGTGGGAGCTGCCAGTGTGGAGCCCATGCCCTCTGTTCCCCAAGGCCGTGGCCCTATGGCACTAGGCAAATGGGGAGCCATAAGGATCACCAGGGGCTGGCTCTCCTCGGACGAGGACACTCCTGGGTCTCTCTCCTGGGGCCCGCTAGCCCAGGTGGGTAAGGAGATGGTCCCATCACAGGGAACTTGCTTCCTCATTCGTCTGCCAGGAAGGTGCCTCCTACAAGTGTCCCAGGCTGGACACTGGACTCACGTATTCCTGAGCAAAGTCAATGAGGTTCTGGAGGTCAATGTCGTCCCGGTAGGCCTTGACGTTGTTGTTGATGAAGAGGTTGAGCTGGTCTCGAATCCAGTCCTTGAAGACAAAGGCCAGGATCCCTGTTGCCAGCTCCAGGAAGAAGATGAGGCCGAGGAACACGGAGAACTGGGGTTGGGGCACACAGACAGTGGGGGTTGGAGACGCAGGGCTCTGGTGGCCTCCCAGGGCTTGAGTGTGCCACAGGGAAGGGTTCCATCTCTACCTCCACCAAGACCCAGAGGCGCCCAGGGTCCCCACCTTCTATTATTTCAGTATTGTTATATGATGGTAAAAGGCATCTGTTCTTACCTACCCATCCAATTCCCTTTGTCTGGTAATCACACCCTGCTCTCTGAAAAATCATCCTCCATGCAAACCTCTAGTTTCCAAGGTTCGGATGGAGCCACATCCCCGCACCCACCAGTCCCAGATACAGGACTGGCAAGTGCCCAAAGCTCACCAATCAGAGCACTACCTCCCTCGGCCTCCAGGGATTGGTCCAGAGGCAGCCAATCAGAGCCAAGGAAATGCAATTAAAGCACTTTGGGAAAACAGTTGGGAAGAGAGCTCTCAGCCTCCAGCAGGAGTTCCTGGGAGGGCATGGGGAAGCCGGCTCTGTTCCTGAGCCTCCTGCTACCTAGGAATGGAGCCAAAACGGGGGAGCGGGGGGACCTGAGAAACAGAGAGAAAGCAGGCCAAGTGACACTGTAGCAGTCCCTGGATCAAAATGCACCGGCAGCCAGCACACCCCTGGACTTTTCTTATTTGAGTCAATAAACATTTTATGCTTGGGCCACCAGGTCTCGGTCACTTACCATACCACAGAAAGGATCCTAGTAAATATAGATAACATAAATCTAACGATGACGATTATAGCATAATAATAAAGCTACACATCATTAGGCTCCAACTGTATTGCAAGAACTGGACGGGAGGAGATTGGGGTTCCCAGTGGATCTCGAGGGCAGCACTCACAAACTTGAGCAGGAAGGTGTTCTCCCGGAGGGCCCCGATGCACCCAGCAAAGCCCAGCACCGACATGACGCCGCCAACTACCACAAACAGCCACACGGGGTCAAGGCCTCCCAGATCTGTCAGCGCTGAGATGTTGGAGAGTACACCCTGTGCCGGGCAGCAGAGGCAGGTGTGGGGAGCTGACCTTCCCACCACCTCGTCCCACGCCCGCCCCACGCCCACCCACTGCCTTACCTTCTCACCCCAGGCCCAGAGGCCGATAGCCAGGAACAGGGCTCCCAGTACCTGCAAGGGCAGCAGCAAAGAGCTCAGGGCTGGGAGCAGCCCCAGGACTCTCCCGGCTCATCCTTCCCCAGTGGGCAGGGCCTTTGGGAAGCCAGTGGAGAGAGGAAGAGGCACAAGGGCTGTGAACAGGATCTGCGGTCCTTTCCATCTTCCCAAGAACATATCCCAGTGCTTCTTCCCCACAGGACACAGCCTGGAGAACTGAACCCTCCCCTAGCCTTGGGATGGACATCAGGGGCCCCTTCCTGGAACTCCAAACTGGAGCAGACTGTGGCCAAGACACTCCTGCCAAGGAGCAATAGCAGCAGTGGCAGCAGGGGTAGTGACGGCACCAGCGTACTGAGCCTCTACTCCTGACCGAAGCTGGTGTTTGGGTCCCAGGCTCCTAGCCTCCGTTCTGCACCCTCCCAAGTCCAGCTCTCCTGCTGCCCTAGAGTCCTGTGACTGCTGCCCCACCTTCGACACTCCTCCCCAGCCCCATCCTACTCCTTTAACTGCCTGCCAGAGTCAGTTTCTGTGGCTCACAATCAGATGCCCTGGAATGACGAGGAATCTCAATGATCCCCAGCAGAATCCAGAGGGAAAAGCCTGTTCCAGGAGGAGGGTTGGGCAGAGGCAGAGGCCCTGACACAAGACCACGTCTAGTTCAAGGAACAAACTGAAGGGCAGACAGTCCGGACCCACAGGGCCCTGGAGGCTGTGGAGAGGAGACTAGACAGTACTCTAGCAGCAGTCAGAAACCATGAGCCGGATGGCCAGGCGCGGTGGCTCACGCCTGTAATCCCAGCACTTTGGGAGGCATCCGGCCTATGCCAGTGGCTTTGCCCCATGGTCACAGCTCTGCCTGGGCCTTCAGAACACCAGCCAGACTCCCCACCGGGGCAGTCCAAGTGCCCCTCCTCCATCCTCAGCTTTCCCACCTTCCTGCCTCAATTCCCTCCTGGGAAGAGCCCTGGATGTCAAGGCTGGTTACCCTCACACCTGACCCTGGGCAGGTCCCTGGGCATGCGGTCTCAGAGGGGCCAAGCCTGGGGCCATGACCCCACCTCCTACAACCTCCCCACCCACGTGCTTTCTCTGCAGACTCCTTTCCCTCAGCACATAGCCTCGGCCAAGGCCTCTATCACCTTCCCTTCCCTGACCTTGGGCTCCCCACACTGCTCTATTCTTTCTCTGGAAACATCTTCCCTTCCATTCTACCTGGTGGGTCTGCTGATGTGAAACCAAACATCACTTCTCCTGCCTCCTCCCACTTGGCCTGCCCTTGGCCTTCGGACAGGGGACTGAGTGCCACTGTCTCCTTCCTGAACCCCACCTTCAGTTAACTCAACCCCATTCCTCCCCGAGCTCCTTCCCAGGATGCTCTGCCTTCACCTGCCCCACACCTGCAGCTGGTCCCACGGCCTCCAGCCTCAGCCTTCTGCCGTTCTTCCTCCTCACACTCGTCTTCCATCCCATCATGGCACCAGCATCTCCCGATCTCCACCCAGACCTCACATTGGTCCCACACCCCTTCGTCCACCCGCCTGCAGCAAATACCTCCACAACCCACCGGCACTGATCCCCGCCATGCCGGGAATTCACTGGTGAATAGGACGGACTCGACCCTCACGGAGCTTACACTCCAGCAGGGGAGACGGACAGTGAGCGAACAGACAGGGAAACTTCAGATACAAACAGACCCCTTAACAAATATCGAGCAGGGTGATGAGAGGGGGGATGCTGGGGTTGGAGGTGAGCTTTAGAGAGGGCAGGAGGGAGGGTGGGGGCATTTCAGCTGAGGTTTGAATGATGAAAAGAACAAGAGGGAAAAGCCTGTTCCAGGAGGAGGGTTGGGCAGAGGCAGAGGCCCTGACACAAGACCACGTCTAGTTCAAGGAACAAACTGAAGGGCAGACAGCCCGGACCCACAGGGCCCTGGAGGCTGTGGAGAGGAGACTAGACAGTACTCTAGCAGCAGTCAGAAACCATGAGCCGGATGGCCAGGCGCGGTGGCTCACGCCTGTAATCCCAGCACTTTGGGAGGCCAAGGCAGGCGGATCACCTGAGGTAAGGCGTTCGAGACCAGCCTGACCAACATGAAGAAACCCCATCTCTTCTAAAAATACAAAATTAGCCAGGTGTGGTGGCACACACCTATAGTACCAGCTACTTGGGAAGCTGAGGCAGGAAACTCGCTTGAACCCGGGAGACGGAGGTTGCAGTGAGCCGAGATTGTGCCATTGCACTCCAGCCTGGGCAACAAGAGTGAAACTCTGTCTCAAAAAAAAAAAAAGAAAAGAAAAGAAAAAAAGAAACCACAAGCAGGTTCCAAGCAGAGCAACACCAGGGTCTGCCTGACATTAAACATGAAAACCTCTGGGCCTGTTTCACAGGCATCCTCCCTTAGGCCACCTTGACCCAAACCTGAAATCTCTCCAGGCCCCAAGTGACCCAGCCCAGTCAATTCAGCCTCTTGACTTTCCCAGCAGCCTTCCTCACCTTTCCCACCTCACCATCCCAGCTTTGCCCCAGCCCTGCCCCCGTTCCAAACCTCCAGGCCCTACCCCTCACCTACCCTCCACACATCAGCCAGGCAAGCGGTCTCCAGCACAGAAGCCAGATCAGACCCATCACCTGAAGCCCTCACTTCTCCATGCTGCCTTAACATAACACCCCACGCTCCGCCCCAGCAACAAACCCGGGTCTCTCACACCTGCTCCCCCTCGGTATTTGAGGTTGCTTCTGCTCACAGCTCTGCCTCACCTCCACCCTCAGCCCACTGGGCTGTCACCTTGGCTCTGTACTTTCTGGCTGTGTGACCCTAAGTAAGTGACTTAACTTCTGTGTGTATTCCTTCAGTTTCCCCATCTGTAAAATGTAGATAATAAGGTAGTTGTGAGAACACAACAGATTGAACTGATTGTATCTGCCTAACAGCCCTCACGGGCAGATTTTTTATCATCCCCTCCCGGGCAGGAAAGCTGAGGCCTGGAGAGGAGAGGTGACTTGCCCAAGGTGTCCCAGCCAGGCCTGCTACAGCCAGGCCTTCTGACTTCCTTGCCAGTGCTCCCACACACTGCCCACACCCTCAAGAGCCTAGCGCTGCAGTGCAAGGGCACCCACCACACCAGTGAGCTCGGTGGGCAGTGCCAGAGTCTTGCTGAACACAAGTGGGAGGGCCTGGCATCTTGACCCAAGGCCTCAGGAGCAGAGACTGCAGAGGCCACAGCTTTGGAGAGATGGGAAAAAAGACTTGGCATGGCCCAGGGGGACAGACACCACCCTGGGAGGGGCACTAGCTGCTCCCTTCCCCCGTAGGGGCAGCTCCGCCCAGGAGCCTGAGCTTGTCAGCTGTGGAATGTTGAATTCTGTTCCCCAAGGCCAGCTCCCAGGCTCTCAACCGGGGAGATCCCCTCCCAGCCACCAAGGACTCGCTATTGCCCCTCCCTGCCCATCCTGGCAGGTCAGCCTCCTTGTGCAGGACTGAGGTGGGGAGAGGGCTGTGACCCACCCCACTTTGCAGGAGCCTAAGGTGAGGCACCTGACCCACGTACTACTGGAAGGGAAAGGAGGCTGGGTAAAGGGCCCGGTGGCTCCCTTCACGCCAGAATCTCCTCCCTACCGGCTAAACCAGTGGTGGGGCTTGGCACACATCCCACATCCCACATCCCAGGGAGGGCAGGAGGGCTGGGCGAGAGAGGGGGCAACCTGCACCTAGCACGCCCCTAGGGTCTTCAAGGAAACACCTTCCCTTTCTCCACAGGGCCTCGGGATTACTCAGGGAGACTCCCTACCCCAACCCCCACCCCACGCTGTAGCTGGGACCCGCCCCCAGCAATCCGGGCCTCTGTAGCTACCTCGGGTAGTCCTGGAAGTGGGCGTGGGGGTGGCAGAACTGGGGGGATGGTCCCGAGCTCCAAACTCTTGGGGCAGGGAGTGGTCTCCCCCAGCAGAAGACTGAATCTCCCTCTCCCACCACCCCCCAGCACAGGGGAAGGCGCAGACCCCGCGCTCACCCAGAAGACAATGTTGAAGCCAAACAGGAAGTATTTCCCGCAGCAGCCGACCTCGGGTTCCTGGAAATGCTGGTGCTTGCCGGGCATGGTGAGCGGCCACCCGCCGGCCCGGAAACCGGAGCCGGGAGCCAGGCCCAGCGCCCCGCGGGCCGCCCTGGGCTAGAGCCGCCCACGGCCTAGCCGGGCGGCTGAGGCTTCATCGCCTCGGCCACACAGAGCGCCGGTCGGGCCCCGCCCGCCCCTCAGGGACCGCCCTCAGCATCCAGACCGCCTTGCCCGGAGCCCTGCTGTCCCCGCCTCTGTCCGAGCCCCGCCTCTGTCCGAGCCCCGCCTCTGTCCGAGCCCCGCCTCTGTCCGAGCCCCGCCTCTGTCCGAGCCCCGCCTCTGGACCGGGCTCCGCCTCTGCATCAGGCTCCGCCCCCATGGCCTTTAGTCCCTTTGGAGCCCCGCCTTCTCACCTGGCTCCGCCCCCATAGCCCAACTCAGTCTCGTCTGAGCCCAGCCTCTGGATCTGGCTCCGTCCCCGAGCTCCGTCCCCGCAGCCTGATTCGGACCTCCTCGCAGCCCCGCCTTCGGCCAGGCCCCGCCCCCGCGCAGGCCGCAGCCGCCGCGTTTCCCAGCGTCCTGCAGACCCGCCTGGGACGCCGGCTGATGGCACCGGAGGCTACCTTGCTTCCCCTGCTAGGTACCAGCGCCATCCCGATCCCCAGCCTGCTGTTGGAGCCCATCCCAGGGGAATATTAACTGCGGCTCCGGGAGGCGAATGGGGAAGCTGGTCCGGATTGAGTTTTTAACACGTGCAGGACGTTTTATCATTGTGGAGTCGCATCAGGCTCACCTTCACCCAGCGGAAATTCAGCTCTACTTATTCGGGCTCAAACTCAGGCCAAACGAGGGCCTGGGCCTTGGTGCCACGCCGGCTGCACCCTGCCAAGTGCATATGCCGCAGCACCTGGCTCAATCCCCTTTGGTGGCTGAGTTCCCCCAACCGCACCCCCATCCTCCATACTGGCCTGGGTCCCGGTCAGGCTCCTTGATACCCAGTGATCTCACATGAGCCCCTGTAAGACAGGACACGGGCAGATCAAAGTTTGGGGGAATCTGAATCTTACTCCAGTTTGAAGCGCTCTTAAAAATAATTCCAACTTTGTTCAGAAGTATTTATTTAAAACAGGAACAGAAACATGCTTAAGCTTTTATTATCAAGTTTATCCACTTCTACCAGAACCTTGGTGAGGTCTAGCCGAGCATCCCCCCACCTCTACTTCAGTCTGGTCCTGAGGCAGGCAAGGCCCAGACAGCCTGGCCACAGCTAGTGAGAAGGGGAGCGGCCTTGCAAGGCTCTCTCAGTCCTCAGCAACCCACATATCCCTCTGTACAAATGATGGCGTTCACCCTCCAGAGTGTCTGTGCCCTTGAGCCCCCCACCCATGGGAGAGTCTGTCTCTCAGGTCACCTCGCCCCCTTCTTGGGTAGAAACAGAGTAAACACTGGACTATGGGCTTCTTCCGCCTACCATAGAGCTCTCCTTCCCCCCCATGACTCACCCCACCCCCGGGAGTTTCCTCCACCCTCCTGCTGTCCTGTGGCCCCGGGACAAGCTAGGTCCTCAGACTGCCACCACTACCCCCACCTGGCCCCTAGGGCCCAGGCCCCAACTCATGTTAAAGAATGTTTGCATTCCTGTTCACTTGAGGACAGGTAAGAACTAGGGCTGTCTGATCCCCAGTCCCACCCCACCCCACCCCCGCAAAGTAATGAGGCTCGGGTGGTGGCTGTCCCATTACAGAGAAGGGGTGCCAAGGCCCCCCTCACACCACAAACTTGTTCTTGGCTAGGGAGTTGCTCTTGGTGGCTGTGTCTGCGTGGGCCTGGTACCCAATGATGGTCTTCGGGGAGAGGCCCAGGCGCTCTTTGTATACACGCCTGCAGGTGTGGGGGACACAGGAAAAGAGACACAGGTAGTCATCAGAGGGTCCTAGAGGTAACCTAGGCCACCAGACTCCTACCCTCATTCTGGCCACAGCCACACCTGTTGTGTCTTACCCATGTGGAAAAACAAAGTATGACCCCCTTAATGCAAAAGGAGAACTGCACTGCCATAATAGAAAGTTAGAAATCTGGACACCAGACCCTTCCATACAGGTGAGCAAGGCAGAAAGGAGACAGGCTATGGAGACTTCCAGAGGTCTCCCTTGCAGGTCAAGCCACCTCCACCCACCTTCCCTCTAGAAGAGACCCAGCCCCCACTCCGTGCCAGAGAACCTCCTCACCCAATGTGCAGCACGCCCGCCTGGTTTTCTGCCTCCCTCGTCCACACAGCGATCTTGTCCCCCTTGGTGCGGATGTTGACGACAGCCCCACATACCTCCCTGCTGTGTTCCTCAAAGCTCTCCCCGATCAGACACAGCAGCTGGACCGGAAGTAGGGAGTTGTGAGATCACCGGCTGGGACATAGGGACTGGCCTGCCATCCTTGAGACCACTGCCACCATGAGACCCACACAGCCCGTCTCTTCCCCTGAGGACCCTCCTCCTCTAACTCACCGTCTCCAGCCACAGCCGGTCCAGCTCAATGTGGCGCTGCTGCTTGGCCAGGCTGACCAGCCAGCGGCCACCCCGCTTATTCCTGCTGTCCTCCCACATGGGCTCGATGCCATCCTGCAAGGCAGATGGCAAGTCAACTGCCTCCCTGTGTTCAAAGGGAAGTGGGGACCCACCTACCATCCCAGTCTTATCCGCTCTCTGCTGAGGCCCTAAGTAGGCCAGATTCTCTTATCCTCCTTCCCTCTGTGCAAGCAGGTTCCACCCCCAGCTACTCAGCCCCCGGACAGACAGCACTGGTCACCTTGTATAGCGTTGTATATGTGCATGTCTCCTTTACTGAGTTTCTAGAGACAAGCATTCAAATGGGGGTGGATTATGGAAGCCTCAGGGGGCAGACCCCAGTGCAGGCAAGGGGGACATCCCGGGCTTGGCTGCATGGTTCCCAGGCAGGGCAGAAGTCACCTGGGGAGATCTCTAAATGTCAGCCCTCCAGGGATAGGTGTGGCATCAGTGAGTGTCCTCAAGCAATTCTGATGCCCTTCCCTAGTTAAGGAGCCAGGCCAGCAATCTCTCTCCCTCCCTCTTCCCCTTCCCGCCTCTTAAGGTCCTCCAAGGTGCGGCTTGGGCCTGACCTACTCAGTATGGGCTCCTGTAAAGCATTTCCTCCAGTCAGAAACCGCAACTGTGCTGAGAGGTGGCCCGTAGCTCCCCACCCCCACCCCTCGAGGGATTAATGCAGTGGAAGCCGGGAGGGATCAACCCCTTGTCCCTTTGCAGGAGGGAAAGGGAGCTTACCTTGAACAGGGCATAGTCACAGCCGGAGGAGAGCTTGCTGGCCAGCTGGATGTGACTGTAGAGCCTGGACAGAGCCCCCCGCCCCCCCATGCCAAAAGTCAAGGCTTTTTAGGGCCTGGTTCCAACTGGGCTCAGCCCTCCCAACTCCTCATCCGACCCCATGGCCTCCAAGCTTTTGCTTACACTGGCCTGCCACCTGGGATTTCACCCCCCCTTTATCCAAACTCTCAAGACCCACCTTCTCCACAGAGCCTTCCCAGTGAAGGCTGAGCCAACCCCTGGGGAGGGTTTTGGACCCCCTCGTGCACCCCCCTCCAGCTACAGCCGAGGCCTTCTTGCCCTCCCTAGGGCTTAGTGCAGCCCTTTCAGAGCCACTCCTGTGAGCACCTGGACACTGGGGCAGCCGAGTCCTCCCCTTGCAGCTGAGACAGGTTCAGAGAGGGGAAGGAACTTGCCCAGGTCACGATGTCATGGAGTGGCTGAGTCAGGGTCAGCTCCCTGCTCCTCCCACTCCCCAGGTTCTCTCCTTGAGCCCAGAGAAGGTGGTGGGGTGGGGGGTGGCTGTGCTCTACACCCCCTGGGCAGAACCCACCAAGCCCCAGCCCTCACCAAGGCTGAAAGGCCCCAGGGAGGGCTGGCTCAACCCGGAGAGAGGGAGCCCAGAGCTCAAAGACCCCCAACTCTAGCCCCACTGGGGACAGACACTCACGCCCAGAAGTCCTCCACACTGTCCACCTTGGTGACCAGGTGCAGGTTGTCCTGCCAGGCCCGGCTGCGGTCATTCTTGAAGAACCACAGAGCCCACCTGGTGGGGGAAGCGGGAGGTAGCCAGGCGGAAGCAGAGAGCTCCTGAGTCCACTCCTGGGACACCTGGACTGACAGGGAGGACCCTCCCCTTCAAGCGCGAACCGGGAGATGAGATTTGGGGCGCAGAATTCCGCTCTTAGTTGAATGAAATCAGTTGTCCTGAAGGGCAGGGGAGGAGTGGGGGTGTTTGACCCACAGTCTCTGAGGGGTTAGGGCTGGAAGGGTCAACAGGGCCCAAGGCTTAGGTCAGCTCTGGCCTCCCACGGATGAAGAGCTAGGGCTGAGAAAGGAGCAGTTGCCCAAGGCCACGCTGCCAGCACAGAGTCTGGCCTGAAAGCAGGGGGCTGTGTTCCACCCGCAGGTTCCTTCCTACCTGTTCTGCAGGGGGTGCAGCTCCAGCTTGACTTCCATGGGGATCCCCATCCGGGCCTTCCCTCTCAGAGACAGCAAAGTCCTGGGAGAGTTTGGAACCTCTTCTCCCATGGGCGTCCTCTCTGCTGCTTCCTCCTCCTTCTCCTTCTCCTTCTCCTCCTCCTTCCACTCTTGGATTCCACCCTTAGCTTCACTCACCTGAGCAAAAAAAAAAAAGGAGTCAGGATGGGTAGTGAGCTCTGGCCCTGCCTGTCCCTGTGCCCACCCTGCCCGTCCCCTGCTCCAAGAGGGGAAGGCAGGAGCACTCACAAGGCCTGCAGTAGCCATGCCCAGCTCAGGCTCCATGGAGGACCCAGCATCTGAAAAGCCCCCAGCTACCAGCTTTTAACCCACCAGCACCTGCCCCGCCCAGCTGGGGTGGGGGAGAGGGCGGGGCCGTGGTGCACTGGGGTAGAGAGGCCAGCCTGATTACCTCAACAGCAAACATTTAGTGAGTGCCTTCTCCACGCAGGCCTGGGGCTGGGGAAGCAGCTGTGACCAAGCCAACCCAGCCCCACACCGTGGGGGCCAAGACATGAAGGTAAGGGTCAATATTTGGAGTCTACCTGAAGGGAAAGCAAGGTCTGCATCCCATGGAAGGTGACCCCAGAATGTGAGGTGGATGGCCCTGCAGATGGCAGAAGCAGAGACACTGACATGGCCGTGGGGCCTCTGGCACCATCCCCATCCTCGCATCAGAGCAGGTATTCATCTGGTCTCTGGAAGCACCTGAGTTTGTTTGTTTGTTTGTTTGTCTGTTTGTTTGTTTTTAAATAAAACATCTTTTTGACTAGAGATGAAGGGATCTCACTGTGTTGCCAGGCTGCTCTCAAACTCCTGGGCTCAAGTGATCTCCCATTTCAGCCTCCCAAAGTGCTGGGATTACCAGCATGAGCCACCATACCCAGTGGCATCTGAGTTTTTTAAAAGTTTAATCATCTGCCAACATTTAGACATAGGGGGATTTTATACTAAGATTCACATTTTTGGTTTCTCTTGAGAATTTGGAAAGGTCCTCCTGGACCTACTGCCTCACAGGCCCCTAGTCCCTTTGGAGACACATGAGGCTCCCTACAGCCCCCACCTTACCTCCTGCCCCACCTGAGTGTTCTCTGCCTGACATGGATGGTGAGGGTCAGGGCCGCAGCCACACAGCCTGGGTTCCAGTCCTGATTCTAGCCTGACTGCAGCCAAGCTGGCACTTCATCGAGTCAGTTTCCCCATCTGTAAAATGAGAATGTTAATCATACACAACTCAGAAGCTTGTTGAGGGTATTACATGATATAGAACCCATAGAACAAGGCCTGGCTCCTGCTCAACAGAAGTCAGCTGAGGGTTCTCCCAGGTTGTGGAGGTTGGGGACTGGGATAGGGAAGGAAGGCAGGGAAGCTTTGGACACCTTTCTCAGCCTTCTGAATGACCCCTTTTCTGTGGAGGCTGAAGCCTCCCCAGGTCCTTTAAAGTTTTGCATCCTCCCCTTGGGCACTTTTAGGATCCCAGACGTATAAAAGGCCCTGCTCCTCCCCGGCTCGTGACCATCTGGAGGCTGAGTATTTGCTCAACCCACATCCTTAAGCCCTCATATGTGCTAGGCACAGGGTTAGGTGCTGCTACGGTGATGAGCAAAAAACAAGCGGGCTCTGCGCTCAGGTTTATGAGATTACGCATCCATCAGACAATCTGTTTCATCACAAACACAACCCACTGAAGGAAAGGGATTCAGGGCTGGGAGAACCTAAAAAGTCCACGATCCAAGCTGGGGCTTCAGAGCAGCAGTTCTCAGGTGTGTACATCAGAATCACCTGCACGGCTCGCTCATCACACGCTGCTGGGCCCTGTCTCAGAACTTCTGATGCCTTAGTTCTGGGCTTGGGCCTGAGGATGTGTCCGTTTTATTTATTTATTTATATTGTTTTGAGGCAAGGTTTCACTCCAGCTGCCCAGGCGGGAGTGCAGTGGTGGCATCTCGGTTCACTGCCATCTTGACTTCTCGGCTCAGGTGACTCGCCCACCTCAGCCTCCCGAGTAGCTGGGACTGCAGGCATGCACCACCATGCCCAGCTAGTTTTTGTTGTTGGTGGTGGTTTTGTTTTGTTTTGTAGAGGTAGGGTTTCTCCATGTTGCCCAAGCTGGTCTTGAACGCCTGGACTCAAGCAATCTGCCCACCTTGGCCTCCCAAAGTGCTGTGATTACATGCGTGAGCCAATGCGCCTGGCCCAGGATGTTTGTTTTTCTAACAAGTTCCCAGATGCTGCTGGTCAGGGACCCCGTTTTAAGAACCACTGGGTTGGAAGAAGCTCACTGAGAGGTGGTATTTGAGCTGAGATCTAAAGCATGAACAAGAAATAATAGGAAATAATTAACTGGGTGGGGGATGGCATCTCTGGGAGTGGGAACAGTATGTGCAAATGCCCTGGGGCAAAGGGATTGTGGAATACCAGAGGACGAGAAGACAAGCCAATGTGGGCGAAGCCAAAGGGGGAAAGAAATGGGTAAGCCTGATCCTAGGAGCAGTGGGGAGCCACTGAGCATTTCGAGTGTGTGCAGACTGGCTGGGGAGGCCATCAGATATGCTTTTCAGCAGGTTCTCTGGATTGCTGTGTGGGAAACAGAACCCTGTGGCTGCAAGAAGATGTGGGGAAACACTGACTAGGATGCTAATGTAGTCGTCTAGGTGACAGATGGGATGGCAGAAAAGATGGAGAGATGATGATAGATTCAAGGGGTATGTAGAAGGAAAACTCAGTGATATTTGGTAGGCCCTGGAGGGGTGAAGCACTGTGTCCCATTTATCTATTGCTGCACAACAAACCACCCCAAACTTAGTGGCTTAAAACAATCATCATCATTTATTATGCTCACAAGCCTGCAATGTGGGACAGCCCAGCTCTCCTCCAAAGGGAGGTCAGCTAGGGTGGCTTACAGGTTGGGGCTGGAGTCATCTGCTCACTCACACGTGGGGCAGCTGATGCCAGCTGTCCGCCACAGCCTCAGCTGGGGGTGCTGGCCAGGATTGCTCTGCGTGGCTTCTCCATGTGGCTGCTTGGCTCCCTCACGGCGTGGTGGCTGGGTTCCCAGAGAAAGCCTCCCAGGAGACAGGAAGCAGAAGCTGCCAGTTTCTTAAGACCTGGGCCTGAAACCTGGCACCACATCAGACCCACTGTATTCTACTAGAGTCACAGGCCCAGATTCAAGGGAGGGGACATACTGCCACCTCTCCGTGGGAGGAGCATTGAAGAAATTTGGACAGAGGGAGCACTGGAGGAGGACCAGGCTGGGAAGAGATCACGAATCTAGATTTTGTTGTTGTTGTTTTGAGACAGGGTCTCACTCGTTGCCCAAGCTGGAGTGTAGTGGCATGATCACAGCTCACTGCAGCCTCAAACTCCTCGGTTCATTCTCCCTTCTCAGCCTTCTGAGGAACTGGGACTATAGGTGCACACCACCATGTCTGGCTAATTTTCAATTAAAAAAAAAAAGAGATGGGGTCTCAATATGTGGCCCAGACTAGTCTCAGATCAGCCTGGGAGGGTTCAAGTGATTCTCCTGCCTTTGCTTCCCAAAGTGCTGGGATTACGTGTGTGAGCCACTGTGCCGGCCAGGAATCTAGATCTGATGAAGAAAAAGGAAGGAAGGGCTCTCCCCCATTACCGGGCATGGTCTTAGCTACCTTACAACTGTGGCCCAGAGCCCGGCATGGAATGGCCCTCTCAGCCACAGCACCCCTTCCACCACCTCGCACAGCTTCCAGCCTGGGGAAGCCGCTGGAATCTTGGATTGAGGTGACTAAGGAGAGACCTTAAGAGCAACCCCCTGGCCCTGCAGGCATCCTGGCCTCTCCCTGAGGCCCTCCCAAGTCTGTCTATGGGGCACATCTTCATGTCGGGATTCAACCAGCAGGGGCTCTTGAATCCCAGCCCTACCATCCTGTTCCTAAAATATCTTGAATCTGCTCATTCCTCTCCCTCCCGACTCCCCTGACCCCAGGGAAGTTGGCTATGACTTTGGCTGCTACATGAGTCTTTCCTGACACTCCATTTGCTTCTACTCCTGCTTTCCTACAGAAAGTTCTCCAGGTTCCTCGGGGGGATCATTTAAAATATTAATCTGGTCACATAACTTCTTTGTTTAAAACCAAAGCCAGGTGTGGTGGCTCACGCCTATAATCCCAGCACTTTGGGAGGCTGAGGCAGGTGGATCACCTGAGGTCAGGAGTTCAAGAGTAGCCTGGCCAACATGGTAAAACGTTGTCTCTACTAAAAATACAAACAAACAAACAAACAACAACAACAAAAACTAGCTGGGCATGGTGACGGGCACCTGTAATCCCAGCTACTTGGGAGGCTGAGGCAGAAGAATCGCTTGAATTGGGGAGGTGGAGGTTGTGGTGAGCCAAGATCGCGCCATTGCACTCCAGCCTGGGCAACAAGAATGAAACTGTATCTAAAAAAAAAAAAAAGGCCGGGCGCGGTGGCTCACGCCTGTAATCCCAGCACTTTGGGAGGCCAAGACGGGTGGATCACAAGGTCAGGAGATCGAGACCATCCTGGCTAACACGGTGAAACCCCGTCTCTACTAAAAATACAAAAAAATTAGCTGGGCGAGGTGGAGGCGCCTGTAGTCCCAGATACTCGGGAGGCTGAGACAGGAGAATGGCGTGAACCCGGGAGGCGGAGCTTGCAGTGAGCCAAGATCGCGCCACCGCACTCCAGCCTGGGCGTCTGAGCAAGACTCCGTCTCAAAAAAAAAAACAAAAAACAAAAAACAACCTCCAGGACACCCAGGATGTGATCCAAAGTCCAGATCCTGGGCTTGCAAAGTTCTTGGGCGATTCAGCCTCCCATACCCTGAGCACATGGAGCCTCCAAAAGGCCAGATTTGTTCCTGCCTCAGGGCCTTTGCACTTCCAGTTTTCTCTGCAACTTTTTACAGAACTTCTCCTTGTCCTTCTGGGCTTGGCTCAAATGTCACCTTCCCAAAGAGGCTTTCCCTGACTGCTACCCTATCTAGAGAAGAACACTCTCCCCCATGCCCTCGAACTCATCACCCTGTTCTATTTCTTTCTTAGTGCTTAACACTACTTATTTCGTTTATTCATCCAAAAAATGATGACCTACCAATTACTTTGTGCCAGACACCATTTTAGGCTCTGGGAAGCACAGCTGTGAACAAAATGGATGCTTTCTCCTCTTTGCATCAGAAGGCCCTAGGACTCAGCCCTGGCACCTCTTCTCTGTTCTCTCAGTACTTGCTGTTTCATGCCCTTATCCAGTAATGGGCATTGAATGTCATTGAGACGGTGACA